GCTCCCACGCGAACCCCTCGTCCCACAAGGTCGGCCGGCCCGACGGATTCGGTGGCCCCCACGGCCTCGGCAGCTCCGACGCGGTCCGAAGCCCCCACAGGGTCGCCGGGCCCGACGTCCTCGGCCGTCCCCACGGCATCCCCGGCTCCCACGTCCTCGGAAGCACCCTCCGCATCGAGCCTTGCGCCGACCTCTACCGAGTGCTTTGTTTCGGCGGACATTGCGTGCCAGAACGAGGACGGTGGATCCTGCGAGTCGTTCTCCAACCCCATCGGGAAGCGGTGTACGGGTGGCGGGATCGCCCAGGAACTCGTGTTCCTGTACAACTCGGACTCCTTGTGCATGGGAAACAACACGCAGGACGAATTTTTGTGCGTCGACGAGGTCACCAGCGATCGATCCAGTCTGTCGTCGGTCTACGTCATTGTGTTTCACMGTGACGATGTGTTTTTTGAAGGCATGGTCAACGAAGGGAACGTTTTTTCGGTTGTCGTCGACAAGACGTTCGGGGACGAACCGGAGTTGATCGACATCGAGCTTCGTTCCCTGAGCGAAGATTTTGGTGCCGGAGACCTCCTCCAGACAATGACTATGAGCGTGAGGTGCAGAAGAAAGGCATCGCTGACGCTCTTGGACACATTCGGAGGTCTGCAACTGGTCGGCTTTCGGAACGAAAAAGAGGGATTGCAAACCGTCTACGCGGATCTTTCCATCCAGTACACGGCGACGAACACCGGCGTCCGGGACCTGTTTCTGACCGGTGCCACGAAAACCACCCCGATCCTCGATGGAGCGCAGCCCCTTTTGGTTCCAACCGAGGAGCCCCTCTTGCTGGCGGCCGGCGAGGAAATGGTGTTTTCGGAAATTCTCACGGTCAATCTTGCGGCGATTGTTGGGGGGAGTGGGCTGGGCTTTGAATTCGTGGTCCAGGGCGAGGACACGGGAAGCGGCCAAGAATGCGCAGACTCCGACTCGTTTTCTCTCCAAATAGCCGCTTAGGATCATCAATGGTGAGCGAAACTTCTCCACCTAGCTGCTGTTCTGTCAGCCAGCACACGGTATGCCATCAAAGCAACGCGGGAAGATATTCAACTACGGAGCTGTGGAACAACGACCTTCCCCTCCTTCTTGTTTCATTCCATAACGCATATTTTATTATTTTAATTTTAGAAATACACATACAATAATGGTGAACGATCTACCACACTCTTTTATTCTGTCAATGGAAAAATACGAATTCTGATTAAGTGCTGATATTTTCAATGGATCTGTGTGTTGTTAATTGAATATCCCAACGATGTTTTCCGGAGACTCCAAATGCCCTTAGATTGTTGAGACTCTCCGATCTTTCCATTATGGTTTGGTTCGCAAGCGGTCTCAACAAGTCGATAGTGTTAGTCTTACCCGTGTAACGAAAACAATAATTCTTGTCGATCAGGGATGGATGCTGGGATGATCTCCCGTCTCTTGTCCGTGTCGGCGATTCCAAAAGTTCGTCGGGGAGCGAATCGAATCCATTGGTGCGATGTTTTTGCAGTTGCTTCACCGCTGCTCTTTCTTTGGGGATTGCTTTCGTCGCGAAACCGCGTCACGGATTCCGTTTGTTGTTAGAGATGCATCAATCGTCGAGGCCTCCAAACATGTCGTCGTCGTCGTCGTCGTCGTCGCCATCGCCGTTGCTGTCGCTCTCGTCGTTGAAATAGTCGTCGACCTTGTTCCCGGCCTTTTTCGGTCCCGGGCTTTCGTTCGGGACCCCTCCCCCCCCTTGTTCCGGGAGCGACGACAGGAGCTTCGCGCGGACGCTGGTGCGGCGGGCAAAGACCGCCTCGACGGCCCTTTGCTCCCCGACCGGCAGCCACGAGCGGCCCTTGTGGSCTTCAATGGTTCCTCCCCTTGCCGCCAACGCCCGCGGGACCTCCCACGCCCGTTCCGTGTCCCTGGGGTCCCCGTCGATGGCCAGGGCGTAGGACGTGCGCCCGGCCAGACCCCCGGCAGCGGTTTGGGTGCTTGTTCCGTCCCACGCCGCGGGGTCGAGGGCCTTCCACCGCAGAAGCTCCCTTAGGTATTCCACCATGGGGGCGCTCGGGAATGCCTTGCCGGAGACGGGATCGTCGCTGCTATTGCCGTTGCCGTTGCCGTCGACGCTCTCCAAACATTCCCGGAGTATGCGGTGCGCTTCGTGCATCGACGGGATGCCGCTACGAACGCCATCGAAATTGCTAGGGGGTTTTGTGGTTGGAGCATTGGCATTCGCATTCGCAGCACCGCTGTCTTCCTCTTTCTTGCGGAGTCTCTTTCGCTCCTTTCTCAGGAGTGCGAGATCGAGTCCCTTTTTTCCGTGGGGAACGAGAAGCAGGTGGGCGTTGCTGCTGTTGCTGTTGCTGTTGTTGCCGCTGGAATCGATGCCGCCTCCCTCCCGCCGTTCCTTCGCACGGTCCCGGTACCGTTCCGACAGGTCCTTTCGAACGGCCTCGCGCTCGGCGGCGTCCTCGTCCGCGTCGTTTTTCTTTCCCTTCTGCCCCTTCTTTCGGTGGTCCTTCCCGTCCTTGGCTTCGTCGTCGTCGTCGTCGGACGACGACGCATAGCCGCCACCGCGCTTTCGTTTCTTCCGGGTGCGGAACTCTTCTTCCACGGCCCTGCGAGCTATGGCCTTGGTGCTGCTCGAAGAGGCTGCTTCGTCCGTTTTGGTGTTGTGCGTTCGCACCAAGTCCTTAAAGGCATTGTTGTCCATAGGAATGGGAATCGGAATCGGAATCGGATACTGTAGAGTAGCACTAGGTTGCAATCAAATAGAATCGATTGCAATACGACTTGGTGTAAGTAGCACCGAATGATGCTTTGGGTGCTTGTGTGGTTGTTGGTGTTCGTACGAGTACCGTACTTGGTGGTCGAAACATCTGACAACACGAGTTGCGAGTTGCGAGTTGCGAGTTGCGAGCTTGTTACGAAGAATAGTAGTACATACTCGTATTAGCTACCGGTATTATCCTACGGTACCTTGAGGCTGAATTCGAATTTCGAATACCCACGGGTAATCTTCACAAGAACCTACGGTATAACTAAGATCCCTACGTGCGGTACGTATGTGCACTTAGTATGATCACTGGTTCGTTGTGTCTCAGTCTCCTTCCGGCTCGTCTTTGTCAAGAGGACTGCTCTGATGGGAGGTTTCCAGGGTCGGCACGAGCCTCTCCGTGGTGGAGAAGCGCTTCGGGGAGCTGGCACACCACTCCGACCGGCTGGGGAAGGCGATCGAGCTCCTCGCAGCAGAGGGTGGCAAGGGAAGGAGCCGGGGACTAGAGCGGTACACACAAACGCAGCGCAGAGCTACGCCAAAACTTCACAAACGCTACGCAGAAAMTTCAAATCGAACCAATCCACGGGGGAACCACCAAAGACWKTGTGCCGGGAACAGTGTGCTTGACGGCGATGGTTTTCTTTAGWTTGCGGCCATGGCCATGGCTGCAGCTGTGGTAAATCCTGCTACAAGGTCTGCAATTGTCCACACCTTAGGGTCTGCTCCAGGAGCAGAAATATCCTGCAACCGGCCAAGATCGTCAACCTCATTCTGGATTCGGATAGTGGTCAAAAACCCAAATTCTTCCGACTCGGTTTCGCTCTCTTGAAGAACACGACGTGCATTACCAAGCGCATACATGTATGGATAATWACTCAAACCTCCCAAAAAGAAACCGTCCAAGTACTCWATCTCGCTGCAGAAATCTCCAATTAACGACAGTTCCGTGCCTGTACTAGCTCGAGATTGTTACGATTGATAACGTTTYGCCTCCGGYGTTACTGTCTGGGATATAGTCCAAGTGGTACGGAAGTGCTATTTAGTACCGTATGAGGACCATACGATGAAATAGAAGAGAAACGGATATTCGACGAGAGCACATTGCTACTGAGCCGTGATATATATAACATACGTGTTGTATCTAGTAAGAACAAAATAGTTATTGCTAGAGAACAACATTGCTCTGTTGTGACGACAAAACGGAAGGCAAAGCTCCGCTGGAGATCCTTCCCGCGGAAGACTGCGACGGCTCGGCTCGGCGCCGCACCAAGAGTACCACCACGGGGCGAGAGTAGTACGGCACGGCACGGCACGGCCTGTTTGGTGCACGGCAGAGACCARGCCCTTTGCACCACACCGTGGTATCTGCGGCGGACGCACCGCATCCGCAACGGCGGCGGCGGCGGCGGTCCGGCCGTGCGTCGAACCAAGGTGGCTCGAAACGACGACGACGAACAACGACGATCGATTCGAGAAGTTGCCGGGCGAAGGTTATCAAAGATAGAGTGGCAGCCAACTTTCTCAATCGTTTATTCATACACATTGCATGACATCGCATTCAAGTGCAAAAGGCAAGAATACGACRCCCTTCGGTAGAAAGAAGTTTTTCGAAAACGTGGTAGACACCTAGCATTTCCTTTCAAACTCAGGAAGCTTTCAATGACGAGTCAAGGAGAAACYAGGACAGGTAGAGAACTACTACCGTAGAACGGATGGATCGACCAGACAGAATTGAAGGATAGATCGACTAGAAGGAATACAATGATGGTCCAGTAAGTTAAGACTCAAGTCCCAAACCGAGTCCTAACCGAGTCATATTTTTCGCTTCAGCAAGAATAAATTTCGATGCGGCAGTTGAGTTGATGGTTTTTCTGTACGGGTCCATCATAAAAAATCGACTACGACGTTTCAAAAATAAATAAGACCAGAAAATGTGACTAAAATGTGACTCAATAGTACTCCAAACGCGCGTGCCTACTTCAATATTATTCATACTCGTATACAATCATTTCTCCTGAAAATTATTTAGTCATTCAAGAGATCGCGCGGTAAGATTACAGTTAAAAAATGGACCGTTGGATCGAAAATAAAGGGCCGAGATGCACGCCGTGCACCTATGTCACCCTTTTCGTCGGTCTCATGAAAATAAGTGCATAATTTTGGTTTTCAAGCAAATCAAGGCCAAATTAGTGATTTTGTATCATAATTTCATCCTGAGTTGTRCAGCAAAAGGGAAMTTGCAGCTTCAGACAATTGAAATCGTAGCTCGRTTAAGGAAGAAGGATCTTTCTGCTATACACTTGGTCCGACACTAATTCATGTTGACAGAGTGGTACCATTTCAACGGAAAACAATGGAACAAATAGAAGATATGTTTGTGAAACCAGAGAGAATTGGCGACGGTAAGTGTGATACCCTTGCTATTCATCGGCAGGAGAGCCCGGGCCGTTCTCCCGAATCCAATTTCTTACGGATGTCTGCTCGATCAAATAACACAGTGGGTAAAATATTTCCACACTCGCAGAATGAAGTCGATGTCTGGGATTCCTCTAGAGACCCCGACACACCCGATCGGAAACGCAAGACGTCCGACGACCGTCAGCCCGAGTCTCCTCCGGAAATCGAACGAAAGCACGCAGCAAACAGCTGGCATCGAGAGAAGGACTTCCAGGTCCACCCKGGTCCATTGAACACCGACTCTCCRGCATCCTTCCCAAAACACTCGATGGGGCACAACGAACCGTCTCGGTACCATCGAGAGGTGACACCACACCACCAACCCGAGCTTCAGAGTGTCAATAGCAAAAACGGCACCCCATCGCTGGCTAGCGAAGAAGATCGAAGCTTGCACGGGGGATACGATGCTCCGGCWTACCAYGGAACCAATTACAACAACGGTGGAAACTACGTTCACGAGAACGGCCACTACCAGGGACACACTCCCACCCGCAACCAGGGCCATTACTTGCCCGACATGGAACCCTCGCAACAATACAACCAAAACCAGCAGCAGGACAACTATTTGCGCCCCCGGCGCTGGGCCTGCGACTACTGCAACGTAGCAACCTTTGTGAGCTACGAAGAGGCGTGTGCGCACGAGGAACAATGCGCACGGCAGTATTTCGAGCGATACGGGCGCCACCCGCACCCGTCGAGGGGTCCGGTGCCGCAGTACGATCGGCCGCAGCCACAGCAGCAACAGCAGCAGCACCCTCCCCAGACACCACCGCAGGGAGTGCTCGTCACCCCACCGCAGGGCCACACCGGGAATCTTTCCCACGGAAACCAGGATGTCGGTGGTCGCCAGAACTGGGGGTCGCGTGGCGGGCCTCCCATGCCACCGCTAGCTCCTACCTCCCACGATCCCGGACACCATCCCCACCACCAGTACCACCCCCACCAGATGCACCACCAGCCCGTGTACCCGCACCACCAACAGCACCACGGGTACCACGGCCAGCACCACTCCATGCACCACCCACCACACCMYCCACCACACCACAACCCCCACCACGGCTACCAACACCACCCTCCGTACGGTGGATACCACGGATACGACGCCGGTCCCAGCGGACAGGGACGGCGCGATGCCTACCAGATCAACCCGCAAAAACGCCTGCTTCTCGCCATGGGCACGGACCAGGACAGCCTGTCCGACCGSCAGTGCTACGTTCGTGCGGAAATGGTCGAGATCTTYGCCGCCACCGAGAAGGACGTGTCCGCGAGACACTCCAAGGGGGCACAGAAACTCACCGTCGGGCAGGTCGGCATTCGCTGCGTCCACTGCGCCCACCTGCGACCGAGGGATCGCGCCGAAMGGGCCGTKTGCTACCCCTCCTCGATCAGCAGGATCTACCAGACCGTTGCGGACATGCAGCGCTTCCACTTCGAGCAGTGCCGCGAGATCCCGCCCAAGATCCGAAAGATCTACAAGTCGCTAAAGACTACCAGGCCCCGCGGTGTGGGTTCTCCGCAAACCTACTGGGTACAGAGCGCGAAATTATTGGATTTGGTTGACACCGAGAGCGGAATCCAATTCGGAGCCGACGTCAAGGTGAAGGARGAAGAAAAGGACCAGCAGCAACAGCCGCAGCARCAGCARCAACAACAACAGCCGCAGCAACAAGAACCACCKTCTTCCGCATAAACACAAAATTGGGAAATCTAGGGACCCGCGTCCAGTTTCAACACGCCGCAACGATTGAACAACACGACGGAATAAATTCTATTGGGAAAATTTATTTCACTACACGCATTAATTTATKGATTATAAAAGTATTCATTGTTACAAAAATACATGGAATGATGCCACTCGCAGAAAGATATAAAACCAACTTATCGAGGTGTCAGATGGGTAGAAAGATTGGTTCGTACGGCACTCTATTTCTCCCGGGCTAGTGGTATTAAACATTTTGAGGCTTCCTATGGAGAGCTTTTATTTTATGACCCCAAAAAACGCTGGTAACTGGGCATTTGTATCAGTACCTATATCACGTCTCGTTTGGTTTCGTTTGGTTTCGTCTTGTGTGTTCGCATTCGAGCACCCCGGTGCTGCCTCGATCGCTCCGTTCATTCCGACCGAAACGTCCCGGTGCGTGGCACGAAAAACGGAGCTCGGCACGATGGACCAGAACCGGGGGTTCCGGAACGGCGGGGCTCGAAACACGGCAGGCACCGCGTTGGTGCGCCACCGTCGGAAGGAAGGGATGCGGGCGGCGAACACGGATGGTTGGTTGGTTTGTGCCATTGCCCAAAATCTGGCGCCGGAGAGAGGGGTMRAGGTGCCGTCGGCAACAAAACCGACAAGGAYCGACCTGCTGTACAGGAACCCCTGCGCAGATTTTGCTGCGTCGTGTTTTGGTTTGCATTCCTTTTGCAGCCTCGTTTGAGTTAGGCCGACACGAAACGACACGACACGACACGACACGACACGACTCCGGCTCTGCTATTGGCCGGGGGCAGCCTCCACCGGCCGCAGGTCCCGGAGCCGCTTGCCCGGCTTGAAGCCGGGGTGGTCCCTCAGCAGCTGCGCCTCGTGCCTCCTGCGCTTTTCCTCGTGCATCCGGTCCATCGGCGCCAGGGCCGCGTCCAGGCCGGCCCCCCTCCCGCTGTCCGACGCTTCGTTTTGGGTTCCGGGGAGGCCCGCCGCCGGTGGCGCCGCCCGTTCGCCTTCTCGTTCTCGTTCGTTCTGGTCCGCCCGGAGTTCCTTTACCTCCGCCGCCAGGAAGGCGACCTCCTTTCTCAGCTCGTCCAGCTGTTGTTGCTGTTGTTGTTGTTGCTGCTGCTGCTGCCCCACCGCGCCTCTTGGGCGGACGACGTAGCCATCGATCTCTTCCTCGCTCATCCCGGAATCCCTCAGGAACTGGATTTCCTCCCCGCGGTAGTAGTCGTCGGTGGAACGGAGCAAATTGCGCAGGACCAAGACCACCAGCAGCAGCAGGAGCAGCACGTTTCGGGGGCCGAGCCGCCGCAGCCGAGAGCGGGCGTTTCGGAGGTGCCTGTTCTGCCACGCGTTGTTGCCCCCGGCCGTTGCGGGCCCTCCGTATTGCACCATCGATCGTTCTTCGGGAGAAACCGTTGGGCGGTGCCGGATTTGGGTGTTGCGGACGATCCCGAATAGTGAGGGTTCCGAATCGAACATCACTGGTAGAGCACAGTAGGTACGCTACAGTACGACAACACAACTACGAAAATCGTAATCGTAATCGTGGTCTTTCGGTCTTTGCATACCGTACGGTATGATAAATACTGTAGATAGATATAGATACTAGCAGTAAAATCTAAATCTAAATCAAGAGATGAAAGAGCTCGTACATACGTACGTACCTACATAAGTAAGGTACAGTATTAGGGTATTGTTCGATTGTTCGATTGTTCGATGCGTCAAGTTCGATTTCTCGTGCTCCTCCTCGTACCATACTTTCCACGGTTTCGTAGTTTATCGTAATGATGTACGAAGAGTACGTACGTTCTCGCACGTACAGTACTACGATCACTACTGTATTTCTAATTCCACGCGTTTCTCGTCGAAAGTTGAAGTTTCCAATGTGTCATCTCTCAAATTCCATCGAACTGAGACTGCGGGAAGAATCGATCCGAAAAAATCTTGTGTTTTTGTGCATCGATTGTTGCCGTCAGTACAGCAACTGGAAGATTACCGACTGCAACAACAATTCACGCCGAAGAGTTCTCCGGCACGACAACATTCCCCGCGAAGACTAGGATTCCTCAGGATTTTTCGATAAGGATCGTGCACTCTGTCCTGCCGTCACCGCTTCATTGCAATAGTAGAATTCCCTGCTTCACACACACAGGCATACGCATAGGCATACACACAAACACACACAACACCATCCCATCAAAATGACGCCCAAAAAACTGCCCTGTCTGGCGGTTGTGCTCACGGCGCTCGCGGTCCGCGACGAGGGAGTCGCCGGATTCGTCCCKCAGACCGGCCTCCATTCGAAGRTCGCCACCGGAAACACGGGGCTGGGCGTCGTCGGCCAGCAGGCCGAGTCCTTCGGACCGGCCGACGTGATCCGAAAGGTCAAGTCCAGCCTGCCCCAGATCGACTGGCTGGCCGAGGGAGACGCCCCCGCCGACAACAAGGTCAACATGCCCGACCACGTCAAGGCCGTCCTGAGCCGCCCCGACGCCCCGGTCCGGGAGGCCGAGAACGAGGAGCGGACCGACCGCATCCGCAGCCGCTTCGAGGAGGCGGCGAAGGACGCCCAGGCCCTCAAGGGAATGTGCGTCGGAGAGTCCGACACCGGCGCCTGGTGGAGGCAGAAACTCATCATTCCCAAGGGGGGCCGGGCCGTCACGAAGGAGGAGCCCCTCCGCGTGCTCGTGGCCGGGGGAGGCCTGGCGGGTCTTGTTGCCGCGGCCGCCTGCCACGCCAAGGGGATGAAGGTCGCCATCTTCGAGCAGGCATCGACCTACGCGCCCTACGGAGGGCCCATCCAGATCCAGTCCAACGCCCTAAGGGCCATCCAGCGGATCAACCCAAGGTGCTACGAGGAACTCGTCGCCGCCGGKACCGTCACGGCCGACCGGGTCTCCGGCCTGAAAATCGGGTACAAGAAGGGAAACAAGCTCGCCGGCCTCTACGACGCCGGGGACTGGCTCGTGCGCTTCGATACCCTCGGGCCGGCSCTCGAGGCCGGTCTCCCCGCAACGGTGGTCGTGGACCGCCCCGTCATCCAGCAGATCATGGTCAAGCACGGACTCCCGGAGGGAACCGTTCGCATCAAGTCCCGCATCCAGTCCTACGAAGACCTCGGSGAGGGACGGGGGGTCGTCGCCACYCTAGAGGACGGCACCAAGGCCTACGCCGACGTCCTGGTGGGAGCCGACGGGATCTGGTCCCAGATCCGCAAGATCCTCCACGGCCTGGGAGAGGGGGCCGGTGGCTTTGCCGCCTCCGGCGCGGCCGGGGGAGCCCTGGACGACGCCGAGGCCCGCAAGCTGGCCCGGGACACGGTCGCGATCGCCGCCTCGGCGGACCGAAGGCACTCCGGGTTCACCTGCTACGCGGCCCTCGCGCCGCACCGGGCCTCGAACATCGAGGACGTCTCGTACCAGATCCTCCTCGGCGAGAAGAAGTACTTTGTCTCCACCGACGGCGGTGGCGAGCGCCAGCAGTGGTTCGCCCTCATCCGGGAGCCGGCCGGGGGGGTCGATCCGGAGCCCACCCCGGAGGACCCCACGCCCAAGCTCACGCGGTTGCGGAAGGAATTCGCCTCGCTCGGAAGCGGCGGGGACGCCGACGGCAACGAGTGGGACCCCTTCGCGCTGGAACTCATCAACGCCTCGAGCGAGGACGACATCAAGCGCCGGGACCTCTACGACGGGGCCCCCCTGCTCACCACGCTGGATCCGCAGCGGCTCCTCAGCCCCTGGGCGAAGGGGCCCGTGGCGCTCTGCGGGGACGCCTGCCACCCGATGATGCCCAACCTCGGGCAGGGCGGGTGCCAGGCCACCGAGGACGGCTTCCGTCTCGGCGAGGAGCTGGGCTCGGTCTCGAACACCAGGGACATCCCGGGGGCCCTCGGAAAGTACTCCCGCGTAAGGGTGATCCGAACCGCCATCATCCAGGGCTTTGCCCAGCTGGGAAGCGACCTGCTGGTCGACTTTGATCTCATGATGACCATCCCCATCCTCGGGCCCTTTTTCCTGCGAATGACGCAGCTCTCGATGCCCTGGATCCTGCGGTTTTTGTACACGGCCGACTTTTAGGTGTCGCGCCGTTGTCCGTATTAGGTAGTAGCCAGTAATACTACTAGTATGAATGAACCACGATCTGTTTCTCTTGTAGCCCGTGTGATAGCGCAACAGTCGGTATAGCTTCTGTTTCAGGTACCGAAGTATCTTRMAGAGGAACAAAAAGGTAACCAGTCGAAGCTTTCTCCTTCAAACAGTCATTGCTTGTACTTTGTTATTATCTTGTAAATGACTTTTCGGTTTCCCTGGCCATATCTTGAGAATTTTTGGTTGTATGTTCATTTGCAACCTTGAAACCGCTAGAATGGTTTTATTGGCTACTTTATTTGCAACTTTGCAGCTCAGCTTATTTCCATTCCTGCGGGTTCTTCTTGCAGACTCAACTGGATTTGTAACTGAATAGGCAAATAGTAGGCAAATAGTAGTTTGTTTCAACCAGCAAGTCTTTGTCAGGACTTTGCACTTGGCATTTGCAAGAAGCTTGAAACTTCACACTTACTTTGCTACTGACCTATTTGCACCATTGTTACTACTACACCAACTGAAGTTGCAAGCAGCACCAAGAATATAGAACTGAATGGATAGTAGCTAATACAGAATGAATTCTGCAACCTTTCAGTACTACTTTACCATAAATTGTTGATGAAACAAACCATCTTTGCTGGTTGCCTTGCAACTGAATGAAGTTTATAGTTTGTTTGCCCACACTACTTACAACATAATTTGCTTAAATGTGAGCTTGTTTCTTGGTTGCAGAAAAACCCCTAGTACTACTTATTCCACTTTGAGAGTTTTTTACAGCTCTATTACCACTAGTACCTACTAGTAATACTAGTACTGCTGGTGGTGTTACTGTGAAACCCAGCTTGCTTACTTGTAATACAGTAAAAACACCTGCAACATGCTTCTTCTTGGGAGATGATTATGACAGTGGTACTACCACCAATGGCAAGAAGAGATGACTCTTTTCAGCCAAGAAACTTGGTTACTGGGAGACAGAGGCTGGCAACAAGTGATGCTACAAGCATCCATCAGCAAGAGACAGCAACCACCCTGGAGCTCAAGGACAAGGACAAGGACAAGGACAAGGACAAGGACAAGGACAAGGACAAGGACAAGGACAAGGACAAGGACAAGGACAAGGACAAGGACAAGGACAGCCATATCTTGAAAGTTTCATGATGACTACTACTGGTGATGGGGATTGATTGTGATGTCATATTCAATTCAATAAAGAAAGTGATATCTGTATATTCTTGACCCATTCCTCCAGGCAACCATGAGAGCACAAAAGCGCAACAATAGTAGAATCTTTGATTTAAGAAGACATTGTGTTATTTCTTATGTGGATAGAAGATGAGAAAGAACCAAAAACAACAGTAGGAGGAGATGATTTTAAG